TTCCTTCATCTTTATTCATTGATCACTTTTAGACTCTTAAGAAATAATTGAAAATACCATGACTTCTGTCAGACATCATCTTTCTTTCCTTTCCTTTCTTTTTTTTCTAAATTTATATGTGTTGAGTGAATCTTTGTTGCAACACAAAACATCTGCTTAACAACAAATTCATGACACACTCCACAACGTGGAGGGGTCTGGAGAACATTATGCCGAGTGAACTATCTCACTGACAGATGGACACACAGGACATACGATTCTAGGGGCAAGAATAGACTTGCTGGGAGGTGGAGTTGGGGAGAATGGGAAAAGGATGACTAGATTGTGAAGGCCACCCACCTTGGAATGGGTGACTTGCAGGACAACAGGACAGGAACCGAGGATTTGAAATTAGATGTCCCACAAGCCACACATCCTGGAACAGGACAAATATTATAAAGGAAATTGGGGAAGGGAGGAGAATGGGTGTGCGTGTGCGTGTGAAGGACAATTTATGTCCTTGCGAAGAATACAAACAAACACAAAGAAATAAAAGTAACAGCAAAGTAAAGCTACAAGCTGCCTCTTGATGGCAAGGGGCGTGAGCTATTACCACAGAAGCTCCAAGGACACCCTTCCCCAGGCCCCACCCAGAGCAAACCACAGCACAGGCTTCCAGGGAAATAGATATTTCGGGTGTCGGGTCGAGACACCCATGCGTGGTATTTCTGTTACAGCGCACTTAGGGAACTGAGACTGAGACAGAACATAAACAAAGTTAGAAAATTCCCCCATGAAGGAAATTGGGATAAAGGTGGACCTTTGCCCTCAAGTCTGGGAGGGGACCCGTGTGAGGGAGAGGATGGTGTGGGCTCCTGAAATCCCTGGACACAACAGGTTGTTCAGAAAGGTGGACAGTTTTTTACTTGCCATTGGTCAATGGCAAACAGGTTTGACTATCTGAGTCCTCTGTGACCCCGGGTCCTAGCGACCCCACTTCTGCCCACTTGGAAGGAGGCCAAGGGCCCTCAGGGCACCCTTGTTGTGGTCTTTTGTCCACTGGCACCATTGTCCCAGCAGAATACTCCAGCCACCGTCTTCCTAGTCACCCCCTCGTGTCCGTCTTTCCTTCTCACCTGCTGTCCACCCTGCTGTTCTCAGAGGCTGTCTGGAGAGGGTCCTTCATCTCCACACCAGCAGGGCCACGGGGGGGATGTGGGGGTGCCCTCTTCCACCCACCACACATCCCCCATTTCGGCTGAGGTCTGTGGGTTCACATGGGGCACCCCTGTCCTCTGCCAGGGACAGATGGAAAGCTGTGGAGATAAGACGCCCGCTCTTCAGTTCCTTTTACAAAGAAACAGGGGTTTTCCACACCCTCAGCCACCACAGAGAACTTAAGGCCCCCTCTGAAAAAGCCCCCCTCTGGGGCTGCTTCTGCCATTATCCAGGCACCCTAGGGAGTGACCATCAAAACTTTCTGCTTCTCCTCCTTGGCCGGTCAGCCCTCTGAGCCCACCAGCTCACCCTGGGGACAAACATGACGCAATCTTTTCCTGCCAAGGTTTAGATTCGAGACAATTCCCCACTGTCCTCCTGGGTGGGTGTGAACCAGAACCCACTCCTGTGTGGCACTAGGGTGACAGGATACTTCTGGTGTTTCCCGCTCCTGCGTAAAATCATTCAGGAAATAGACCCACGGATGCAGAACGTAAGGATGAGGCTCTTAATAAAATGATATCTATATCTATCTTCCACCAATCTTGATGCCACAATTCTCCTCATAGAGCCCAGCCTCTCAGATAATCTGCTCTGCATACATGTTGAAAAGGTATGGAGACAGAATGCATCCCTGGAGTACACCCTTCCCTATTTTGAACCATGCAGTGTTACCCTGCTCTGTTCTGACTACTGCCTCTTGGT